GAACTGTCCGCCCTTCCCCCGGAATACCATGATCTGGTGCAGGCTTTCGGGGAGGAAGAGGCGGACGAGTTGCCCCCCCATCGTAAAACTGATTGTAGCATCGAGCTCCTTCCGGGGTGCAAACTCCCGAAGGGGAAAATTTACGCTATGGGGCCCGGGGGAAAAGCCGAATTGCGGAAGTTCATTGATAAAAACCTGGCTAGGGGATTCATCAGACCGGCATCCTCCCTGTCCAATTCCCCATGCATTCAAAATAAATCCACGGTTGATGAACAAAGTAGAATTTATTGTAAAGCGATGGTTAGATCAGGAACAGAAGAATTGTTAGTAATGACTACCGGTTTCACAGGGAAACATAATAAAGGAACTTGAACCAGGTTAGAGCCAATGAGCCCAATTCCCGCTGGCGGGAATGTAGATAAAACGAGCGCCCAATTCCTTGGGAACACAACGGTTCTACAACATAAACACAAGTTCAGTTCTCAGGCATCCAATACATAATAAGCAGAGCAACGCCATAACTCCTTCCCACCTCCAGCTGTGTGACCTTGAGCAGTTCCGCAGCGTAGCCAGCAAAGACAGTAAACACCTACTGAGGGGAACACATGGGGGGGAATGACCAGAGCATAAGGTAACATGCAAAATAGCACACACCACTCAATGGCAGCTTGCTGACAACCCTCATCTGAGAGGCCGAGCGACCAAGTCTCCAGCTGTACCAGGTATTAATCAAGAAGTAAGCCCTGCAGGGTAGGACACCTGCAAGCTGAGCTCCACAAACAATTACTTGGTAGCTGTAGCCAAAATAGGCCACAGTCCTGGGTTTAGATTGATGCTCCAAAACCCAAATAACACCACAGGTCTATTAAAAAGAAATGTGCAACAGTACACAAATATAGAAGTAGTGCAAAACAGGGGAAAAATAATAAAACTAAATAACTATCCCAAAATAGTTATTCAGGCTTTAGTCCTCTGACCCAGATACTACCTGGTCAGATGGAAGGTACAGGGTCCAGACAGAACAAGTCCCCAATCCAAGAAGCAGATATTCTGGCTGCACAAGACCCAACCTAAAGTCAAGAGGACAGCCAGAAGGAAGGAAGGCCTGAAGGAACAAACTAGAACGAACGGTCTTTATGCCAGAAAGCATATTGATGACTAACTGCAGCTGGCCTGATCCTGTTTGGCCAATTACGTATGTTGCTAAGATATATGACCGTGTACCTCCACAGCTGGCATATACTCCCAATCAAGCAACTCACCCACACTCAGGGTTCCTTGCGCTAATGAGATGGAATGTGAGTGTGTAACTCCCTCTGGGTCTCTGGCCTTGAAGCTCCCAGGACCCTGATCTCATTTGCACCTCTGCCTGGCTGCATCTCATCCCTTATTTCTCTAGCAACTGCATGTCAGTATGACATAAATTTCCCAGAGAGGAGCCTTCAGTAACTTGACTAGGCCCAAAACCCTGAACCAAAGTTCAAAAGGCCAAGAAAGAACCAAAGTTTGCCAAGAAAAAACACCCAGTTTCTCTCCACCTTCTGTCCAACAGACCCAGCACTGCAAGAAGGTTAGATCGTTCCACATTTCCTCCCATTAAAATGCAGGTTGAGCCAGGAACTGCTTGTTCAGTGAAGGGAGCAAAAGGTAGAGCTGGTACCAGCAGCTGGAAGTCCAGTAATAAAGGACTCATTTCTCACACTATTCATTTCTTTGTCACCTCTAGTTTAAGCACCATTGCTTAAGAAAGATGCCGGAAGTTGATTTAACTGCCAGGCACAGTTGTTGTAGTAACTATGAACACACAGAGAAACAGCATTCAGCCTTTAGAGGTAAACCAAAACAAACTAGTACCTAATAACAAAATCCCCTGTATGCACTCTGCCAGAGAAACCAAAACCCTGCTCAAGATATAATCATGGAATTATTACCTTGTGAGCATCTGCACACATTGGAATGTCATGCAATGGAGAGATGTATTCCCCTTTATCATCCTCTGGAAAACAAAACAAAACAAAACAAAAAAGCAATTAAGAGCAATTCCTCAGTTATAGTAGTTACAGTGATACAATGCAACAGTAAAATAGGCCTCAAGTATCATGGCTAGAAAGCTGAGAGAATTTGAAATGGCAAAGCCCTACCTGACCAGTGAAATCAGTGAATTCTTGTACCAACAAAACTATTGCAATGATTGTATGTCTTATGAAGTGCAAACCTTTCTATGGCTGCGGTCACACGGAACATTAGCCACGCCAGAGAGAAGGAAGATAGGCGGATTTTCCGGCCGCGATCTCACCGGCACATCTGGGAAGCGTAGCGCTCCCGTGGCTCAATCGAGGCTTCCCGCCAAAGACGCGCGGCAAAAAACTAGTACCTTGGAGGTACTAGTTCCCGGAAACCGCAGGGCCAGGGCGTGCGCGTGATCGCGTTCACGGTGGAATCCCATGACATCCGGCGCCCACCCATGTCCCGTTGCAAGCAGGATTTTTTCCCCCAAGTCCCCACAGGATGCGCACCAGCACGCAACTGTGCATTTGCACGAAGAGTAAAGTGAAAGGTCCGTTCATCCGATTTATGCACATGCACAAAGTTCAATGAAAAAAATAATAAAACCTGGTATGCCACGGAAGCAGCGCCGAGCGATTGCTGGTGTGATCGCGCCGCGCCGCTTCTTTGCCACGCTGCAGGATGGTTGTGTGATCGGCACCTCCCCCATGACCACGGAACCTCGACGGGACCTCGAGGGGAGGTATGATCGCGCAACCGCGCGTTATTTTGCTCTGGGGCAAACAGCCACGCTTCCCCCCCGCGTTTTCCTGCCCGTGAGACCGGGACCACTGTGTATTTTTTCAAAAACACTTCTACCCTGCCCTTCCAATCTGACATAGGATCCTTAAGTCAGTATATCATGTAGAACTGGTACTACTGTAAAAATCTAAGACCACCCCCTTAGACTCTGTTCTAGACTCTGCCTCATTCCTGTCGGAGATGAGAGTCAGAACAAGGGTCCCTTACAGCCCCCAGAGCCATTATTCAAGTACCCTGTCCCAGAACCACCAGGATTCCCAGACAGACCAGCTCCAGCAACCGCAGCTTAGGCAGACGTTATTACCCTTAGCCCCCAGACACTAGGCTGGTGTCAGGCCTCAGGTAGGCCAGCCTACTGCTCCTCTTCTCTGTCTCTTCTTTTGGCCCATCTGGCGTTTGGCATGAAGGGTTAAATATAACACACACACCCCAATACTAAATCTTGATGAATGTCAAGGCCAGAGGCAAACTGGTAGAAGAAAATTTCAGCCAGCTATCAAGTACACCTTGTTTTCTAATTTATATCCCACTTTTCTCCTTGTTCGGAGACGCAAAGCAGCTTTTCACATAGTTCCCCTCTCCTCCGCTTAATCCCCACAACAACAACCCTGGGAGGGCAGGTTAGACTGAGAGACTGTGACAAGCCCAAGGTCAACAGGCAGGCTTCCACGGTCGAGAGAGGGATTCGAACCCAGTCATCCCAGGCCTTAGTTCTATACTCTATTCACTACACCACACCAGCTGTGTGATTGTTATGTTTAGAGATCAACATAAATATTTTCTACATGCAAGATAGTTTGAACAATGTTAAATACAGGTTTAGATACAACCACGTAACACATGCCATAATTCTATTACCTTTGAGGCCACACACCATAATCCCATTACTTTTACGCCAAACAGCCACAAACATCCCCAACCGATTTTCTGTCCCAATAAATTTGTGAATTTGGCAATCACATCCAAAGGGCTCTTGGGGGTGGAATCTTTCCATATAGATCCTGGTAGGGTGCAGAACAGGTATGAGACACTCAGCAGTTGACCCTTTCCAGTTTGGTGTAGTGGTTAAGTGTGCGGACTCTAATCTGGGAGAACCGGGTTTGATTCCCCACTCCTCCACTTGCACCTGCTGATGTGACCTTGGGTCAGTCATGAGCTTTGGCACAGCTGTACCTGAAAGAGCAGTTTGTGTCAGAGTTCTCTCAGCCCCACCCACCTCACAGGGTGTCTGTTGTGAGAAGGGGAAGGGAAAGGAGTTTGTAAGCCTCCAAGTGAAGGGTGGGGTATACATCCAATCTCTTCTTCTTCTTCCCATGAGGTTAAAATACTCTCAGGTGATGCAACCAATGTTCCCTCTAAGCTGTGAAGTCTTGTGAGCAAAAATTCTACTTTGTGAGCTACGGGCCTTAAAGTTGTGAGCGAGCGATTTGGCGACTGCATAAATCAGTTTGCTCTGGAGCCCTCCTTCCTGAGCTAAGACAAAAATCTGTGAGATGGAGGCTAAAAAACTGTGAGCTAGCTCACACTAACTCAGCTTAGAGGGAACACTGGAAGCAACCACATAGGTTATCCCCAGGCACAAACACTCCCACGTGGCGCACATGTGTGCAGGGGGCATCAGCTGCACCTAACAGAAACATCCTTTAAATCTCTGACATTTCTAATGCCTGGAAAGCAGCTGTCTGTCAAATGCTGGCCATTCAGGATGGATCTATGGCTTGATTCACTATAGCCATTTGGAATATTTCACTCTGATTCCGTAGCCAAGTAAAACAATGACCTGTAAGGCTCATAACCATCTTTTTGAATACTCAAAGCTGTCATGAACAACAATAGTCCTTCATCTTTGTTCATAAGAAAATATCTTTGCATAAATTTCTTTAGCTTCTCCTTTCACTTAGTGTTTTCTGGAACATGCCATTCTTTGGCTTGTCTCATAAAGAAAGTGAAAGTTAGTCTTCCTAGCACAAGGTTTTGGAAAGCCAATCCAAAATCTTTGTGTTTAAAAATAGCAAAAAAATAATTTGGCACAGTGTAGAAGCAAAGGAGGAAGGGAGTTGTCACAATGTCAGGATATGTTATCAGATGGAATTGCTTTGCTTTTTGAAAATGATGGTTTCATCAGAACGCATTTCATAGTATACACAGTATACTCAAATGGCTTGTTTGTACCCTCTGCATTTAACTAATAAAAAGTCCCTGTTTCTTGCATTATACTTTTAAGTGGTAAAGTCCATTCATTATACGTCATCTCCAAGAACAACTTTTCCAGCAGAAGAAACTCCACATGCAGTCTATCGGCCATCAACAGGAATCCAACAATAAACGTTCCAAAACAGCAAGTTACTCTGGCTACCATTAGACCCATCTCAGCAGAATGCATATCCTAAATCCCACAGGACATTATCCTACCAAGTTCAAATCTGTCACTTTCCCTGCAGAAAGATGTTGGGGATTGTTTCCTTTTGCTTAACCTAATGCAGGATCCCTTGGAACAGACAATAGTAAAACAAGCAAGAAGATGACGATGGACAAAAAATAATATGATCTGCTCCAGGATGAGGTCACAGAAAGAAAGTACAGAACAGTTATTAAGCCTTTCTAATTCTAAAAGACAAATTCCCATGAGCATAAATGACCACCTTGTGAAACATCTTGCACGTCACAGATATTCAGATGCTACCTATGCGAAGAACCAAGAAATTCCATAGGGAAACTTTTGTGGTACACCCTCATTTAGAAAGCCAAGGCTAATTATGAAGAGCTACCAGGAATCTCTCTCTAAATTAGGTCAGTGGGCAACAATGTAGCAAATGAGTTTCAGCCTGGATAAGTGTAAGGCAATGCACAATGGAATAAATACACTTAACTACAAACATATACTGATGGGGCCTGACCGGGTCAAGACTGAGAGATCATGGGGTTGTGGCTTGATGAAAATGTCAACTCAGTGTACAGTAACAGTGAATTTTTTTTTAAGGGGACTCAGAGCCCCACCTCAATAAAACACAGGGCGAACACAACAGTATTCCCTCTAAGCTGAGTTAGTGTGAGCTAGCTCACAGTTTTTTAACCTCCGGCCCACACATTTTTCTCTTAGCTCAGGAAGGATGGCTGCAGAGCAAATTAATTTATGCAGTAGCCAAATAGCTCGCTCACAACTTTAATGCCAGGAGCTAACAAATTAGAATTTTTGCTCACAAGACTCCACAGTTTAGAGGGAGCATTGGAACACAGAGATATGTGCACCAGGAAACAAGATGAACAGTGGTAAGAGAATATGAGGAGGAATTGCCTTCACATTCTGAAGACAGCTGTTTGCTGTCTGCCTGTTTGAGTGAGTTTATAAGAATGCCTTCCAAGAATAATTACACAAGGAAAGGAAACCCAGGATTCAGTTTTGGAATGAAAGGTAAATTGCAAGAGCAATTTAATGTCCCCTCTTTCCCCCCAAACCCAAAAGGAATCCTGATTTTCAGGGCACAAGTGTAACTAATTCATCTCACTGTGCCAAGAGGGGAAAGAGAGATTGTGCAAGGCTGCCTGAAGCAGTCCTTCATCCAAACAGTCCATTTTACAAACCAGCTTCTTTCTTCTGATCAGACAAGAACAATTAAGGAAACTTGGGCTGATACCCTTTCTTTAACACACAAAGCCACTTTTACCTGCACAGTGAAAACTGAGACCGTTTCGGGTGGGGCATCACCACTGAGGAAAGAAAATCGCCTTAAAGGATTATACTGTAGAAGGCTTTAGTTTTACAGCCACCTTCACCATTTGCATCTGATCAGACTTTAAACTCAACTTTGTTTGTCCTGTGGGGGAGGGTTGAATGACAGCCACTCCCCAGGCGCTCATTTGCCAGTTCTGTCACATCAAGCAAGATATGGAATTTCCTCAAAACCCATTCCACCACTTATGGGTCTCTACCACCCGCACCACAACCCCACTGTTTCCCCAAGGGCAGCTGCTACCCCACTTCTTAAAGACACTCCAGAACTAGACATAACTCCTGATCCATTCTAAGCCCTCCCACAATAGCAGACATTTTATACCAAGATAACACTCAAAACTACAGCCAAGGTTACATAACATGGTTCTGTGACCCTTTGGCTCCTTTCTTTAGCCATCCCTGAAAGAAGTGTGTGTGGGCGGAACATTTCACCTACATGGCAGTTTGACAGCATAAAGTCAAGGGCAATAATGATATTGTATTAGGCAATATGAAATAGTAAGGATGCAGGGATCAACTGAAGCCTGTGCTGGAAGCTACATATTTCAACATGCAGCCAATTCTCAGATGGCATCATTGGGTGTGGCACGTCCTTCTGAGCATGGGAAGCCACTCTGTGCACATGCTCAGATCTATTCTTATTGCTCCTCATGTCCTTTTTAAAAACGTAGTCTATAATCTCAGCAAAGCCACCCTAAGAATCTTAGTGAATGCAATATTTATAAGTAGTATTTATAGATAATTCCAAGATGGGTAGCTGTGTTAGTCTGTCTGTGGCAGTAGAAAAGAGCAGGAGTTCAGTAGTACCTTAAAGACTAACAAAATATGTAGCAGAGTATGAGCTTTCATGAGTCACTGCTCATGTATTTAAATATCAGCTACTTCTGAAGAAGTGAGCAGTGACGCACGAAAGCTCATACCCTGCCACAGATTGTGTTAGTCTTTAAGGTGCTACTGGACTCCTGCTCTTTTCTACTGCTATAGATAAATCCAGATGGCTAGTTGTATTAATTTGTTGCAGGAATCTTGCGGCACCTTGAAGGCAAAGAAAATTTCATTCCAGAATTAGCTTTCATACACAAGAGGCCACTTATTCAGATTGCACTCATCTTCCTCCGCCTGCTCTCATCCACTGGGGTAAAATTCTGTCAGCCTTTGAGATGCCACTACAGTCACACTTTAGCACTTTACAGAAGCTACTGCAAACCGTACAGTTATCTTGCTGTAGCCCCTATCACAGCCCATTACACACCCCGAATCTAAGAAAAGAAGGCAATCTATAAAAGCTTTAACGAAAAAACCTGAAGCATTTATCACAGAGCATTTGTTTAGTATAACTTCCCCCTCCTCTACTACAGAGGAGGAGGGAGCTGAGACCGCGTGGCAGAGGCGGGATTCGAAGTGCCCCACGCCCGGGCACACCTCTCAGCCGCTCCTCTGCACAAGGCATACCAAACAAGCCAAAGCATAAAGGGAAATTTATACTAAGGCTCCCGAGCCGAGCTTTGGCATGAAGCGAGCAGGGCGCAGCAGCCCTTGAGGACTGGGAGGCACACTAAGCCTGGCTTCCAAAGGCGAGGCAGCCACTTCTCCCCTCGCTTCCCCTTTCACACAGCAGCAAGACATCCGAGCGAAGCTTCTCCCGCCAAGCCTTCCCCGCAGGGACTCACTGAAGAACAGCCTGTACTCCAGGCTATTCAGGCAGCCACGTTCCTCCCAGCCGTAACTGGCCATGATGCCGGCTCCGAGAGAAGCGGAGAATGAAAGGCGGACAGGCGCTTCCCGGCGGCGCCCGCTTATTGGACAGCCGCCCCCCCCGCCCCCGCCCCCGCCCGTCTCTGCGCTGCTCTGCGCAGGCGCACATTCTCGTCCTTCTCGCGCTCCGTCATCCCCACCTCCTCAGCGGCTGCGCTGGCTGGACAGCACTGCGCAGACTCCGCGGCAAGGCAGAGTTCTCCCATAGAGAAAGACGAGAATAGTCGTGTTAGTGTAAAGCAGTAGAACAAAGTTTTATTCACGGTATAAGATTTCTTGTGCACGCACGTTTCTTCAGATACACTGAAATGGAAGTTCATACATACAAAGTTTCTGGTATTCCTGTTAATATTCGCCCTTGCGAAGGACAACGTGGCTGCACTCATTGGGTTAGTGGGCTTTTTCACTTTAACGTAGGTCTGTCTGGATTCTGTTAGTGGGTTGTTGAAAGCGTCTGCATCAGCGTACCCAGCTCCCCTCCCCCAGCAATTCCAATAATGGTGAGATCCGCATTGTCTTCCTCAGCCTAACCAACTGTGCAGGGTGGTTGTGGGCAGTGTTCCCTCTAAACTGAGTTTGTGTGAGCTAGCTCACAGTTTTTTAGCCTCTGGCTCACACCTTTTTGTCTTAGCTCAGGAAGGATGGCTCCAGAGTAGACTAATTTATGCCGTATCATAGAGTCGGAAGGGACCATACAGGCCATCTAGTCCAACCCCCTGCCCAATACAAGACCAGCCTAAAACATTTCAAACAAATATTCCTCCAGCCTCCTCTTGAAAGCTGCCAGTGAAGGGGAGCTTACCACCTCCCTAGGCAGCTGATTCCACCTTTGAACCACTCTGACCGTGAAAAAGTTTTTCCTACTATCCAGTCAATACATTAATAAATTACAGTAATGTAATTTAAACCCGTTGCTTCGCCAACTGGAACAGCTCCTTGCCCTCCTCCAAATGACAGCCTTTCAAATATTTAAAGGGAGCAGTCATGTCCCCCCTCAATCTCCTCTTCCCCAAACTAAACATTCCCAAGGCCCTTAGCCTTTTCTTGTAGGGCTCAGTCTCCAGACCCCGATCATCCTTGTCGCTCTCTTCTGCACCCTCTCGATTTTGCCCATATCCTTTTTGAAGTGAGGCCTCCAGAACTGCACACAGTACTCCAGGTGCGGCCCTTTTAATACAACCCAAGACTGAATTTGCCTTTTTTGCCACTGCATCACATTGACTGCTCATATTTAGTTTACAGCCCACTCTTACCCCAAGATCTCTTCGCATACACTATTCCCTAGAAACGTATCCCCCATCCAGTATGTGTGCTTGACATTTTTGTGGCCAAATCACTCGCTCACAACTTTCATGCCAGTAGCTCACAAAGTGGAATTTTTGCTCACAAGACTCCACAGCTTAGAGGGAGCATTGGGTGTGGGGCTACAACGGAGAACGATGTACGCCACCCTGAGCTCCTTGGAGGACGGGCAGGATGAAAATGTACTCCAGACATTAACATAACATTCCTTTCTCCTCCCTCCTTTATTGCAATAGGGAGATAACGAAACCAGACAGTTGATTTTTCCTTTACTAGTGCAGGAGCCAGTTGCAGAGCAATTTACTCCCTCCCTCCAAATTCCATAAGAAAATCTAGATTTGAAACAGCACGAACTACTTGGGGGGAGGGGGGAATAAAGGGCCAGGCTTTTGCCGTTTCACTGATAGAAGTCCTGGATTTTCCCCTCTTGTGTTTCGTCGGCAGCTGTTAACTTTGGAGCCCCAGTTCAGCCAAAGTTTCACAAATAAGCCATAACTGTGGTCTGCAGACAAAAACCACTGCCCCCTAAGTTCTGTCTGGACCCTGCATGGGTGTTCTCCCGGACCCTGCCCTCCTGTAGGCTCGCAAATCAGCGATTAGGCACACCTGTCCTGCTTTGAGCCCATATTTCCAGACTCTGTAAATATCTGGATATTGATCAGTAACTCTGATCAACAGGACATAGCCTTAAATCTAACAACCTTTGCACAGCCACAGTACCTATGGGCATGTTGAAGAAGGTAATTTGTTAATCATTGTTCCAGTGTAATCCTTAAGACAAATCCCCCTGAAAGTGATTGTTCTCCTCTGGTTTTCTGAATGTGAACTCTGAACCCCAGCTATGTGAACTCTCAACCCCAGCACACGGATGGTGGGGAGGGGGGAAGCAGAATGTGGATAAAATAAACTGCTTGCTGCCTTGAGAGGCAGACGGATTTCTCTACCCTCGAGAGAGTTGTCTCGCATGATTCTTCATGTGGCGCCCGAACAGGGACACTGAGGAACACACCTGGCTCACCAGCACCTGGAACAGGTCCCTTGAGTGCACTCCTTCGTCCAGCATCTGCTGTGACCCCTTCACTGGTGAGTATGGGGGGTGATTTGACAATCCCTCAGAGAAAGCATGCCGAAGAACTCCATTATTTGCTTCAGAGATCCGGCGGGACCGCATCTCTGCGGCAAGTAAAGAGTTTGTTAGGAGAAATCCATAGGCTATGTCCCTCCTACCCGGAAGAGGGGTCTTTGAGACTCCGGGTTTGGGAAAAAGTGGGGAAGATTTTACATTGTCCCCCAAGAGCTCCTGTAGAGCTGCTGCAGGTCTGGCATCAATGTCGATATGCAGTTGAAACTTTTGCACCTACTCAGCTGAGGACGCAGTTAACAGTGTGTCCTCCTCCCTCTTATTCGGTCTGTCAGCTGGCCGCCCCAAAACCTCCCTCTTCTTCTCCCTCAGCTCCAACCTTGTTGGAATCTGGGAACAGTAGGTCTGATGATTCCTCTACTCCTTCTGCTTTAACCCTACGCCAACCATCTCAGATTCCTGGTCGGGTTGTTAGAGAAGTCCTAGAGACTAAATTACAGGAGGGGGATGGGGATCTTGAAGAATTAACAGAAATGTTAAGTGTCTGCCCAGTACATGTTGCTGGACAGGATGC